GACCCGTGCTGAGTGGGTCCCGCAGACCCGTGCTGAGTGGGGTCCCGCGGACCCGTGCTGAGTGGGGTCCCGCAGACCCGTGCTAAGTGAGGTCCCGCAGATCCCTCAAGACCCGTGCTGAGTGGGTCCCGCAGACCCGTGCTGAGTGGGGGTCCTGCAGACACGTGCTGAGTGGGGTCCCACAGACCTGTGCTGAGAACGTTAAGGAAAGGGAAGAGCTGTGGGTAAGATGTGTTCTGGCCTTTGAAGGGTGGGGAGATTTTGGCAGCAGGCAGAGATTTTAGGAGGAGTTCTGTTTTAGGGGGACAACTAAGAACACAGGATTTCATAGCTAGACACTGCGCTAAATTAATGCATCTAAGTACCTATAAAAGCTAGAAAGAGTGGCATGTGTGTATGGAAAACCTTAAGTCACAAGGCAAGGATTTAAGCTTTCTCTTGGAGAGTTCATTTATTGCTCTTTTAAAAAGATACATTTAATTATGTATATGTTTGTATTTATGTATGAGGTATATACTGTGTGTGCAGGTACCTTCAGAGGCCAGAGTCATCAGACCCCCTAGGTGTTAGCTTCCAAGCTCAGATCCTTTGCCAGAAGCTCTGTGCCACGGAGCCGTCTCTCTAGCTCTTACTTTCCTCTTTTACATATTCTAAGTTCTATTAGAAGCTGAAGTTAGTGTCAGGAGTGATGGCTTATGACTGTTGACCACCCCAGCACCCAGGAAGCTGATGCAGGGGGTGGCAAGTTTGAGACTAGCCTGGATTACACAGCAAGAAACAAGAAATAGTCTGTACTTCGTATTTCTGGAAATGATGAGACAGGTGATTGGGAATGAAGGCTACTTTGCAATGTGATGGGGGCTCTGAGGTAGGTAACCATCTGTGGTTCCAGCATCTTTTGGGAAGATTGACTTACAGACCCTAGGAGTCAGGCAAAGGTGAGGCAGGAGAACCCTTTTCTATGCAAGGTGGACTAGCAGCTTGGCATTTTGAAGATTTGTTGAGTCTGTTCTCTCCCAGGCAGAGCTGCCAACATAGCCTGGGGAAAAGATGGAGATGGAGTCTACCTTCAAAATACTACTGCCCTCAGTGTCTGCTACACTGATGTGTCTAAGAAGTGCCACAGAAGTAACTAACGCTCTAAGGGTTCAGAAGAGCGAGAGAACTGAGTTATGTCACAGGATGCGTTACATACAGGCTTCCCTGGGAATGCAGAGGCTAGGGCAGTGGTTCGTGGAGAGCAGAATTCTGAGGGAGAAGGGTATTTGGTGAGACCCCTATGAGAGAGGCTAGTTTCTGAAGCAGTGGGAAGATGCAGTGGTGGTTTAGTAGGTCTGGACGAGAGGTAGTAATCTAAATTCCCCAGCACTCAATGTTCTCATTTGTAGCTTCAGGAACCTGACCTTAGTTAACCTGAAGATGCGTCTTCAAAAAATCCATGTAGCTTAAAGTCTTTATCCCGGAAGCATTAGTGAGTATTGGCAGATTTGAAGCTAGAGGAAGGCCTTAATTTTATCATTGTCATGGAAAATCGATGAGATGTTTAGGAATTTGTGAAACTTTTTTTATTTTCCTTTAAAACTGACATCCATTGGACATGACTATGCAGTTTTCCCTCTCAGGCAAAGCAAAATATAAACAAAGGAATGCAGTTTAGTGGAAACTGAAGTTTGAAGGCCAGGTCCAGAGATGCCCTGTACATTGTCTTATTTTTTGCAGCTTGTTCTTGGGGTGGCAATAGCCAGGATGCAGGGGGCAATATGTTGACATTCCTCATAAGAGCGTTAATAATAAACAGCCTGCCCTGTGTGCCTGGCATTTTTAGCCACATATAGCCACGGCAGGTGAGCTACCCATTGGTGGTTTCACAGATACATCTGGGACAAGGTCTAGCTGGACTGGAATGTAGTCAGATCCTCATTTCACTTCAAGATCTCTCTGAGGTTAACTGCTGAGCCAAGTGTTTAGCACTGTTTCCACGCCTCCAGTGAGAACTGCCCGTAGCTGGTGTGTCTTGATGCTGCACTGTGGGCTTTCAAGCTCGCGTTGTGCAGTCCTGTCGAGCTTGTCACACGCTCTCTTTCTCTGAGCGCATGCTGTGGACAAGTAGGCTAGAACACCATGTTCACGAACAGTAGGACTTCAAGTAGGGAACATTGGATTGATTCAGAATAATTATTTCAGTCAGTTGCAATTTGTAGTAACATTTACAAGGTCATCATAGCTTGAGACCTTTAACCCTGTGTGTACTTTAGTAGGATTTCAGTGGCCAGATAAGAACATCCAGGCTAAGGGGGAACATCATTTCTGGTTGTCCACTCAGACCCCAGTGACAATCCAAGACTAACTGTAGATGCAATGAAGTGACCCTTCTGTCCAGAGTTAAGGTTAAATGTGGCAGTGGCCAGGCCAGCTGACCTGCTCTAGGGCGTGGCCACCACTATGCTGACCCTGTCTTGTCCTCTTGGATCTAGTCTCCAAGCTTCTTACAACAGTGATTGCACAGAATGGCTTTTTTGCTGAACACCGAAAAATCAGTGAAGTTTCCCAAAGCCTTCTGCTTTTCTTGAGAACAATGTGAGAGAAAGTAGAGATGCTTAAAAACAAACATACAGTTCAACTTAGTAGACCTGAAATGATATGTATCTCTCTGTCTTCTAAAGACATTGTTCTTAAAATGTTCTTTGCTGTGGAAAACCAATTAATCCCAGACTTCAGTTCTAGCTAGAACAGTCAGTCAATCTGATAGATTAGAGAGTTGATCTGATAGATTCTATGAGACAGGTCCTTGAGAAGTGCTGAGGCCAATGTATTGATCCTGATTAAAAGTGGAGAAATACATGCAGGTGTGCTCACATGGGGTGGGGGTGGGTGGGACTGGGGAGCTATCTTACTTTGAAGTAATCTCCGAACCCTAGTGAAAAGTGGAAAGCAGGTTGTCAAAAATAAATACATACATACATACATACATACATACATACATACATACTGTCAAACTAAGTAAATTGCACATTTCCCCAGAACAGATTAGGGTCACCATTCAAGTCCCAAAAGCTTTGAAAATTCTGCCATTATTCCTCTCCTGTCTGTTTTGGGGGAATATCTGGAACATTTAAAATTCTCTGTGTTGTCCTGGATGAACATTCTGAACTTCAGTTATTGGCTCTGTAGTAAAGATGTCACTGTAATGAAGGTAAATTTAGGCATGAGGCTGAAGGCAACTCCCTTCCTCAGAAGCATTCTCCTATGTGCCATATCTCTGTGAGGAGAGAGTCCCAAGATATTTCATCTATTGGTCACTTATCTATCAACTGTTGGCCTGCCTGTATGAGGGACAGAATACGGAGGGGAATTGTTAGGGCCGGTTATAATCTTGGGAATCTCCCTGGTGAGGAGGGAAAGGTCCATAAGCTGATAACAATTGAATTTCATGCTCATTGGAGCTGAGACTAAGTGCAGCTTCCTGACCTACAGTGTGTGTGCACACAGCCCATGTCTGTAGAGCTACAGGGAGACTGCCTGCCCCTTACCCAGCACAACAGAAACACCAGACACTGCTTGAGGCGCTTTATCTGTGCTACACCAGGACCCCGTGCTTCTCCTTTTGCAGAAAGAACTGTTCTTCCTCCTTATTCTTCCTTTGGATTGGCCTGCTAACCTTTTGTTACTAAAACCAATAACCTTGCGCAACTTAACTCCCCTCTTCTATTCTTCTTTCCTTTCTTTTGCCTCAGTTCTGAAGCTCGTCAATGTGCCATTAATAGTGTGGACTATGGCAATAGGTAATTAGTGGTTCGTTTCTTCACACCAGGTGCCGTCTTTGGTGTTCGCCATAGGCCATCTCTGCTCCTGTCTACATTCCCCAGGCTCGACTCCAGCACATAGACAAGACCTAAGATGTGGTGAAGTAAGGAACTTGTCTACATCCTTTCCCAAAGATACTGGGTGTACTTTCCTACCTCACTAGGATGGTGTATCTCTGAGAGAAGCATCTCCTTTAACCCTCATGAGGACATTTTACCTGTTTACATTCTCCAAGCTTTCAAGGTCCTTTTAGATTACAAACAACATGCTCTAGAGAAAGTCTGACGATTACATAAGACAGAATTTGAGGTAGCCAAAGGCTTTCTAGTAGAGAGATGCTTCAATGAGCAGTCTACGAAGCAGTCTGTGTGTGTGTGTGTGTGTGTGTGTGTGTGTGTGTGAGCCAGTGAGTCAGTGGTTCTTACAGACACCACACATGGCCTGGATCATGTGGCCTGAGATCCTAGAAGGAGAGCTCTTAGGCCAAAGGAAACACCAGCCTCTTGTGGGGAATTTTGCTTATTTTGGTCCAGGGACTAGAAGGAAGAAGGAAGTTATTTTGGGAGGGAAGAGGGGTGTGTGTTTATATTTTTAGGAAAACTGCTTTGAAATTGTAGGACTAAGATCTTTTTAGTGTTCCTATTTTATTAAAAGTAATACTAATTCTGGCCATATTAAATATATCCTCTCTCAAATATCAATACCAAATTAAGTTCTCAAATAAAATCCTCCTAGTCCTTTATGTTTCCAAGTTATACAGAGTCATTTGCTTCTGGTTCATCCTTGTTTGGTTTAATTCTTTTAGAATTTAGTTTATTTTTATTTATTTATATGTATGAATGAAAAGAAGAGAGAATGGGGGGTGCATAGGGTGTCTTGCAGAGGTCAAATGAGTTGGACCCTCTGGATCCAGAGTTATAGGCAGTTGTAAGTTACCCAGTGTGGGTGCTTGGGACTGCACCTGGGTCTTCTGCAAGACTGAATTCCTTTGAGAGTCCACACTGCTGGAAGTGTGTGATTTTTAACCATGAGCTGTTTGACTGCCTGCCTTCCCAGAAGCCATGTCTACTCACAAACTTTGATATGCCAATATGTATGAGTTTTGAGGCACAGTATGATAGCACAAATTTCTTATCCTTAGCTTAAAGGACAGTCATTCCTGGAGCTTTTTTCTAACCAATTCCCTATAAAAAGCATCACGAGAATTGAATTTATTCATGAAATCCAGGATAGAGAAAGAGAAGATAGAGTTGAACTTTGCTCTGCTGTTCAGTTTTTACATATTGAAGCCATCACCCATGGGCCACACATTACCAGAAACAATACTGATGTTTCTGTCTAATACTACCCTGTAGTACTTCTGAGAAATGTCCAGGCTCTTTAGACTTACAAGCATCTGCTAATGGAGAAAGTGTTTTAAAACAAAACAAAGCAAAACAAAAACAAACCAACCAACCAGTGTTTACGTGAATTGAATCTAGGTGAGAGGAGTCTTTTTCACGACTGGTCATTTTACCCTTTCCCTTGTGCCTGGGGTCAGACAGGCCACAGAATCAAGCTGGGCTTTATGAAGCCCAGCCTTGGTCCAACGGCAAGCCTGTGAGAGCAGAGACCAGAGTTGTCAAGCCTCACATCTGCTCTTTCCACTTCCCACCTTCTCTCTGTCTCAATGGGGAAGTCTCACAGAAGTGCGTCCTCTTGCATAAGGCCTGCTACTACTGTATTTCTGAGATACCGCTGTCCAAATGTTATTTTCAGAGATGTGAGTTTTCCCATTAAGAAAACAGAAGCCAAAACCCACGTGCCTCTGGAGTTACTAGTGTATTGTTGATTGTCACGATAGCAAATTCGCGTGAGCAGAGGGATGAGGATGGTCTGTGATGCCGACAGGAAGATTGGCTTTCCAGGTACCTCCATGTCTACTGTGACATCTCTATGTATTTTTAGCAATCACACTGAAATATGAAGAGGTGTCAACAGTAGCCCAAGGATGCTGAAAGATTAGAAATCACTTTTAACTTTTCTTTCTTCTCCCCTCCTAGTGGGCTGTGCGTTAACACTCATTATTGAGAAACACAGCAGATGGGCCAACAGACCGATTAGTTATTTATGTATACATATATATTTTTTCTTTACAGAGCTTAGATGCTGGCTCTTTCTTCAATAAAAGGAAGGCATTTTTAGAAGATGCCTTGTCTTGGCTTCCCTTTTTAATCAGAAGTACAAAGGGGGCTACTTCACTGCGGTCTATTAATAATGCAGCTATATCCTTGTCTTAACTGCTGTCTTCATAGCTCTCTGTGTGCCCGTTGCAGTCAGTATTTGATTTCTTTCCAGTCCCGCAAGCCTCGTGTGGGCCTTCATGTCCATGTTCTTTCTGGGCTTGGGTTTCTTTATGAGGTTTGTCATTTTTTTAAAATTTACTTTTTTTTTCAGGTGTGTTTTTCTTCACAAGAGAATTGTCTCAAATATTTTGGTGTTCCCATTTGAAATATAAAGGTCTTTGGTTAACTGGTGGAGGTAAAGTTACCTATAACACTATGTAATCAAAAATCTTTAACTGGAGCCTTTTTGTTTAAGCGAAGGGGTCATTTAGCTCTTGGATTTTCCTCAGAAATAGAATTTTTCTTGTTTTGCTTTTAAGTTCTATGAAAGTGATTTTTTAAAAGTGAAACCCTGCTTCTCTTATTTTTTCCTTGTGATGGGCAAGCATATAAGATTTATGTGTGCATATAGGTGGAATTTTCCATGGTGCACTGTGAGTTAGTATGCAGTAACAACTCTCCTTAAGATACTTGGAGAACTTTGAAACACGCTATAGGGAAGGGGTGGATGCACACGCAGGGCCACACAATTTTAAAGTTGTTCATTAAAAAAAAAACTGAATTAGAGTCATAAATTTTTTGATGGATTTTTTAAAAATTGGGGAAACGGTCTATAAGAATGGCATTGAATTAGGTTAGGTCATGGTATTGTGGTGCCCACATTTTGAGGATATTATAGATATAGGCCTCCAATCATTCGAGGAGAGCTATACACAAAGCCATAAGCAATTAATTTGGCTCTGTGTTTTCTGAGATGCCTGATGGTCCTGTCTCCTAGATAGCTTGAAAACAAAGGGACCTGTGAGTCAGTTTTCGAAGAGCCCATCAGACTTCAAAGCGGTGCTTCAGTTCAGTTCTCACACTGTGCTCTGCAACTTCAAGCAGTAGCCTGCTGTTAATAAAGATGTGTGAAAATGTGGAGTCTGGCATGCCTGTTTGCACCAGAGCCTTGCCTCTGAGTGCTTGTGGGGGCCGGGAAAGAGCCCAAGCAAAGCTGAAGGAAAGATGGAAGCTGAAAGGAAGCTGATGTGTATGTGAGGGTGCGAACCAAAGGGGAGTTCTCCTGAGCAGGTGATCCGAGCAGTCTTGAGGGAGACATTTCTGAAGTCCGCTCAGAAGGACTTCGGGCGTTGACTGAGAGTGAGTACAGATGAAACCTTGACATTACACACTGGTATAAAAGTTAGTATATAATGCAGTTCAAAGGCGTTTTAATGATGGTTCCTTAGTTGTGGTCTGGTCTCAACCCCAACACCTCTCTAGGCTCACTTTCTCAAAGCTGAGTCAGATGCCTGTGGGGTGAACGCCCTGTCGTGGTGTTTTTAATCTGCAGAAGCTTGGACCACATTGCTGTGAAGCAGGTCTGATGACCTCCTTCACTGATCGTTTATATTCTATGGGGGCAGAGAGGAAAATCATATTTCATCTTGCTTACCACTGTGTGCTTGGTACCGACCAGTCACTGTCTATTACTAAGGAGTTTTCAATTAACATCTGCTAATTAAATGACTGAATGATTGGACAAGTGCTTGTGACATTCAAAACTTCTCCTCGGTGATCCACACGTGATTAACTTTACAAATTGGAGGTCTGCCCCTCAGATGGCTCCAGTACCACCAAAGGGGTAAACTTACCAAATATATTTCCAATAAGCTTGTTAAACTTGAAAATGTCACTTTTAAAATCAAAATAATGCTATAAGCTATATGCTATAGTGTATTTCAGAAATAAACTACACATGGAGTGGTGATTGAGAGCCAGTTCCTATTGAGTGACAGAGAGTATTAAAGTGTAATTAGCTAAATGTGATGACGCATGCCCTCAGTTCCAGCTAGTGAGAGGCTGAAACAGGAAGATCACTTGAGCCCAAGAGTTCAAGGTCTCTCTCCCCCTCTCCCTCACCTCTTTTCTCTACCTTACCTCCTCTTTGTGTGATATATACTGTGTGTGTGTGTGTATAATATATTATACATATATATATAGTGTAACATATATGTATATAACTAAACTGAGCCATCTTATGAACTCACTTGAATTGAATACAAATTGTGCTCAGTGTCCTTGTTAACCTGACCCTCGCTCCATCCTTGAGTAACAGAGACCTCCTTCTAAGAATCATCTCACATGTTTTATCTTTCTCAGCCTGAAGCAACACATTTGTTTTGGTATAACTTTAACTCTTTACATCCTAGTGCATTTTTAATGTGAGCACAGCTTCACATTAAATTAGCTGTAATGCTATTCGGGGTCAGGAGGTTAACTCTTGTCAGCTTCCCATGTTACAGAGGTCTCTTCTCACCTGGGGTCTGAGCATCCACAGTTTCATGGTCCATGAAGATCCTGAGTCTTGACTCATTCCATAGAGAACAATGCGTTCCCATGAGCTTCAGTGCGGTATAATGGTTCTACTTGCTAGTAATCACCGTCACTCGCTTACAGTGTCTAATGTGTAAAGTAATTTTTGTTGTAAATATGTGTATAAGGGAAAGCATGGTGTATGCCATGTTGGTACTGCTCTGTTTTCATCTGTTGAGGGTCTTGAACATTCACACCTGGACAAGAGTAGGGCTTCAGAAGTCTTTGTAAGAAACCACACAATTGTGAAATGGGAATTAAAAACAAAGTCACCCGAGGTGACAGGGGAGGGAGTGGGGAGTTACCTCCTATTTCTCAGAACCCTGGTGATTGTGTTAGCTCATTTCTCTTTTTGTTTTTGCTTTGATTCTGAAGAGGTGGCTAGAGGCTCTGAGAGAGGGTCCTGTCTGTGTGGTTTGTCTCCCCCATGCCTGTGTGAGGTGCTTGTAGACTTCCTACTTAGAAAGGAAAGGACTTCCATCCACACCTGTGACCTGCTCTGCTGTTGAGCTGGGGAAGGAGCTGATGCCCAGCTGAGAAGGTGCTGACAGAATCCAGAAACCACAGCAGCACTGGCTGGGGGAGGCACCACAGGAACTTTTAGCTGCTGCCAGCGGGGAGGATTTCCCACCTCCTGTCTCCTACCTGTAGAGACCATTCTCATGTGGTGGTTCTAAATGAAGGAGGCAGGGGGATAACCATTCTATCCTATGAAGTGTGATACTGACTTTACTAAGTTGGGTGGAGATGGCAAGCCCCGCCTTCTCCAGGCTCTTCACAAAGCGCTAGCTGTGCTAGCCTCTTCCTCCCTGACCCCTCTGGAGCAAGTACACAAACGTGCTCTGTCTTCCCAGCCCAGGCCTTACTTCATCTGCTCCTCACGTCTGCTGCTGTTGCTGTGCTCAGACTGGTCAGTTCCTACCAGATCTTTAGTACCCCAAAGAAATACCACTTCCTCTGTCTAGTTGCTGCCGCCACCCAGTCAGAATGTGGTCTGCTCTTTTGAATTGTACATTGCCATAGATTCTGTCACAGCCGTGTGTGTGTGTGTGTGTGTGCGTGTGTGTGTTTATTGTCAGCAGCTCTCCCCTACCAGGCTCCTGAGAAATAGAGTTGTTTGAAAGACATTACTGCTGAGTAATAGAATAGCTTGTTTGTGTGTGGGTTAGTGTGTACATGCGTAAGTCCAGATTTCATATAGCCTTAAAAAGATGAAATGTGTTAATGTAAGGTCCCCTGGCGTGTGAAGAAAGCGTTAGCATTGACTCTCTAGGAGACAAAGCTTCATGGTCTGCATACTTCTCTAAGCTCTATATATGTTCTTCTCATGATCAGTGATAAAGAGAATAATCCGAGGGATTATATAGGCAGCTAATGTTACAGTCATAGTATCACTGCAGCTGCCTGTATATAATCCCTCAGATTACTCTGAGGGATTGGCTTTGCATCATTACCTTTGAACTTAATCTCGTTCACTACATTTCTTAGGTTGTTGAGAAGATGCTCTTTGCTGAGGCTTTATGGCTTAAATGATCAGATTTCTCTATCCCTAGATATCCTTAGTGTTCTAGGAAGAACCCAGGGTCCAGCCGTCCCGTTGAAAAATAAAGCTTGCAGCTATGTTTTGGTAGTGCCATCTATGAGATTTGACAGGCTCGACTCTTCCTAGCAGGAATGGGGGTAGTGATGGTGGAACGTGGGTGCTGGTGAGGGTAAAGACGGTGTTTTCTTGGGTTTACCAGGACCTTGAGGAGCTAAGGGTTGTGGGCAGAGGGATGGATAAAAGCTGTGTTTCAATAGGAGTAGCTTCTAGGTTGTAGTACCTCATTTACAGGGCTGGAATAGCTGAATAAGACAGATGATAAACACAGCCGAAAGAAGCAGAAGTCTCTGAGCACACTGAGCCTAGCAAGCCCTGAGAATCTGTACATCTACCTTCACTGCAGCAGGGAAGGTGCTCTCACTTCAGTCAGAATGAGGGGTAGCTCTGAGTGGTTTATTCATAAGCAGTCCTTATGCCATTATGAGAGACAAGTTGACCTACAGAGCCATGCTGGGAATTAGACAGTTGACTGAGCTCTATTTTTCTCTATCATCCTACATATTCGACTCAGTCCTTAAAACAGTGAGTGAGCTGGGCGTAGAGTGAACACAGTAGGTCTAATTCTTGACTCAGGCCAACTCCAGAACATAACCAAGTCCAGGGTTCAGTCTGAGAAAGAAGGAGATCTCCTGAAACAGATAAAGCCTGTGAGCGTTGGCCTGCAGTGAGGGGTGGCAGGAAGGCACAGGGTGGCTCTCTCCAGTGTGCTTTGCTTACTGGTGATTCCAGAACACCAGCAAATCCATAAGCACCTCGGATGCTGTGTGACAGTCAGTAGTTCTCATTCCTTGAGGGCTCGCTACCTCTCTTTGAAAATGGTTCCTTCCCAGCGTGTAGCATGCCTTCCTATGGCACCTTCTGAGCAGGGATCAAGAGGGGTTGCCCCCCCATGCTTCTCTTCTTCAGCACTTCGTGTGGAAGCCAGGGATTAAGATGTGTATTGCCGGCCAGCCACCCATCCCCAGGGAGCAGTGCCAGGTGTGCAGTCCTCCTTTCTCACCCAGCTTTCTCTTCTTGCAGGTGCACACACAGTTACCAGCACAGCCTCAAGGTGGATTTCCTCTGTGCTTGAAGAGAGAGAAAGCAATGTCCCGGTGTCTGTAGAGATGATTTGCAGTTCAGCGCAGCTGAAGCTGACCGAATGAGCTATGGGCTGTGCCTCTGCCAAGCATGTCGCTACTGTTCAAAATGAAGAGGAAGCACAGAAAGGGAAGAGCTACCAGAACGGGGATGTGTTTGGCGGTGAGTGCTCACACGATTTCCTTCTGGCCTGGTGGGATCAGGCCGTTCCCTCTGGCAACAGCAAGCGGCTAAAATGATCTGTGTCTTCTGCATTGACCCACACAGGGGTCAAAGGGATGGTGAGACTTGAGCCAAGTCAATGCAGACCCTTCCTTTTCTCAGTCGCTATTCTTTGTACCTAGGGAGGCTTGGAGACAGTCACAGAGGTTTTATACACAAGTCCACATGCATACCAACCTAAAGAAACGGAGAGGCGGGAGTCGATGTCAGGCAGTGACACGTGTTCTCAGGGGTGACAACGGAAAACAGTAGCCAAATGTGGAGGGAAGGAAGGTTTGTGAATGAAAAAGTTTGTGTGTGTTTTAGGGTTAATAGAGTGAATTCATGTTTAGAAATTCAGTGAAAGATAATTTAGTGTACCTAGTGCAACCATCACACAAATTACAAAGGTCACACAAATCACCTATTCTCTAAGCCCAAATAATTAAAAACCAAAAAGGGCAGCTTTAAAAAATCAAGAAGCTTCACGTAAATACTCAGATGTTTTCAGTAGCTCTCACAGTCTGGGTCTTCATTTCTGGGACATCAGCAGAGTAGCATGGTGTTTGCCCCTTCAGTCAGCCTATGGTCTCCATTGAACCACAGACCCTTCTGCACAGATGCACACCAAGCCTAGGTCACTCTGGGGCGTTGCCTGCCTGGACATTTGCTGGATTTTGAGTTTCTTGACCATGGGTTTGTCCTTGGAAAGATCAATTTCTTCTCTGATGGAGTGTGTATATTTGTACATAGTTCTAGTTAATATGCGGCACACGGAACAGGTTTTGTTAAATGACTTTAGCAGAAAAATCTACTACCTGAAAATATAAATTAAAAAAAAATAGCTTCGTTATATAACATTTCCTTTCTTATTGGATAAAGAGTCTCACCCACCAAGAAATGTCTCATCCCCCAGTCACTCTCAAACAACACTGTCACTTGTATGATTAGCTGTGTGTGTGTATGCATGTGCATGTGCCTGTGAATGTATGTGTAAAAGTCAAACCCCAGTCATTCTCATACAATGTTGTCAATTGTACAGTGTCTAGTTATGTGTGTGTGCCATGCCTGCAAGTGTGTGCATGTGTGTAAAGACCAGAGGCTAATCTTAGAAATATACCCTCAGGCATCGTCCACACAGGGTGGTTTTTTGTTTTTTGTTTTTTTGAGCTTCCATCTCACTGACTGGACAAGTCCCAGGGACCCAGCCTGTCACCATCTCTCCAATGCTGGGATTATAAGCATGTGCCACCAAGCCTGGCCTTTTTGTATGAGTTCTGGGGACCAAGACTCAGGTCTTCGTCTTAATAAAGCAAGTTAATAAAGCAAGCTCTAAACTGACAGAGCCGTCTCCCCAACCCTGGCCTTTGATTCACTGTAATCATTGTTCTTGAACTGGGATTTCTACCGTTGTATTAACAGGTATTCTAATGAATGAGAAGTTTTATTCCTGTAACAAGTTTGTTGTGGTGATTACCTGGAGGATTTAAAAGATAGAATAAAGCCAGACACTAGCTCATTGAAACCTCATCTAGTGGGAAAACAGGTCATTGGAGCTAGAATCATTATTGTGACCCTTTAATACTTAACTTCTGAGAGAAAATGATCCACCATCAAAGATGTTTTTAAACCAGCCTCTGTGGTGGTCTGTCATGATCACGTTCATGGTGGAGCTACTTCGGATAGAGCTGCCGCCATATGTCAACACCGGGAGGCATGTGCATTCATTTTCATGTTGACTTTTCACAGCAATCCCGTGAAATATGTGCTGTCTCAATTTGCATATGTAGAGGCTGAATCACAAAAAGCTGGCTGCTTCTGAGCTGCCCAGCTAGTCAGTGTCAGCATCCACATACCCCAGGCCCTGCTTCACTTCTTCATCCCGTGCTCCCATTGCACTATAGTGTTTAAGGGCTTTGGCTAAACGTCATGGAGATTACAGAGGCATAGACTGCATAGCTCTTGCTATCCTCGCCTTTGTGAGAGGATAAGGAAGTGTTGTGAGACAAAATAAACCAAATACCAGAAGATAAAGTAACTTTAAAGGCAGAGTCAGAATCAGAATGAATTATTTTTTCTCATACACACACACACACATGTATATGTGTGTGTGTGTGTGTGTGTGTGTGTGTGTGTGTGTATAACATATGGGGAATATGTATCTATATATGAGGAAGGGATCTATTCATACAGACATACATATATATGTGTATGTATATATATATATACACATATATATATGCACACACACACACGCACATATACTGCAGTTAGGAAGTAAAATCTATCCCTTCTACATAAATATATGTGTATACACATATATACATATATATAGTATATGTATTATACATAAATATATATTTCCTTCCTGACCACATGCCCCTGTACCCACTGTTAGGAATCCCACAAGAAGACCAAGCTACACAACTGTGATATATATGCAGAGGGCCTAAGGACTCATAGCGGCTCACAGAGACAGAACCAATAGTCAGGGAGCCTGTATCAATGGATTCTTTATAGAGGTGGCATGTGAACCTGGCCTGGAACAATCTAAATTTGTTGGATAAGACTTTAGGAGAGAGCTAGATGAGAAAAGGCTTGAAGTACCACGAGACATATTCAAGAGTTATGAAGAGTCCATTTTGAATGGAACATAAAATATAAGTGAAGGAATCCTAGTTGAGGTTAAATTATAGGAAAAATACATATTAAATTACAGTCCTTAGGAAGAAAGTCTTAGGGTGAGGACAAGATTTGGTGATATTAGTATACAGTATTTCTAGCTAGCTATTCAGCTGTTGCTGGGTAGACTCTCAGTCTCAGTGTTGTGCAACAGCCAGTACTTGTTTTATTGCTGGGTCAGCTGGATACCACTTAACTCATCTCTCACCCTCCTGGTCCTATACACCATAAGCCACTGAGGGCAAAGTATCCTTCCTAAGAAGAGCAAGACTGTGAGCCGCACATATGGTGGTTCCTAAGGATAGTTACCATGCACCGCATCCCACTAGCCTGAGCAGGTGGCAGAGGCCCAAAATCAAGAGGAATAATGCATGCTGACTGGATTGTATTCGTAGCAAGGATGCACATGCAGGGTGCAGCTAGAATTTGGGGAATCAGACTATTCCAGGTCTACCTAGTTCCTGCTAGCTCTGTGCATTTGTGTAGGCCAAATCTGGGAAGTACAGTTCAAGAATCTGCTGAGGTTTGTTCTTGTTTGTTTGTTTGTTTGTTTTATCTCCCTAATACTCATTGAAGTCTTATTTACCCCACTATTTACTATCTGGTTAGTTTCATTTACATATTTATAAGTTTATAGTATAATGCTAAGTAAAGCAGGAATATAAGGGTGGGCAAAACTTCACTAGTCATGAGAGATTCATTTTCTAGCTCTACCAAGGTCTTGCAGAAGAACTCCCAGAATTCAGTATTGAACAAAGCGCTGGACCCTATATGTTACTGAATGCTGCAGTTTAAATATAACCAGCTATATCCTGCTTATATTTCTCTACTTGAACTAATTTGCAAGAAGACCTCCTATCCCAATATTACCACAGATAGTACAAGATGAGTGTCTGGCTTGTTATTCATTTAATATCTTTTGTCACTCACCGGGTCAGTGCGCTGTTACTGTACAGTAATTACCTCCAACTTAGTGTTGTAATGCAGTGTTGATAGGTTATTTCTCTCTTTGATGAGTCTTTTGGGAACCATTTTCAAAGAGAGGTAAAGAGCCCCAAGGAAATGAGAACTGACTTGTCACACAGCATCCGAGGTGCTTATGGTTTGGTTGGTGCTCTGGAATTACCACAAAGTGCACCGTTGAGAGCCACACACACAACGGTACTCTACTGTCCAAAATGGCTTTGAGCTTCTGCTGCAGTTCACGCTTCACAGAGTGGCCAAACTTTTCAAATTGCTGCTCACATCCACGTGAGGAAGGCAAGGCTGCCCAGTGTCGTTTCTACTGCCCTCTTCTCTTCAAATACTTTATCCAAGGTAGACTGTCACGTGAGCCATTTCTAAGGTCTGCAAAGCTTCTCTTTCTTCTCATCCCAGCTTTATTTGTTTTGTGATTTTGTTTTTTAATAAATCACGTATTTGTTCATGGATGTGATCTCTCTTATAAGCTGGTTACCAAACTCTGGGTAGGAAATGCATGATCATTAGAAGACCCAGGTTTCCAGAGGGGTAAGCGCTGGATGAAGAAGGAATGAATGCCCAGAGAGCAAGTTGAACACAGACTGTTCCATCCTCACTTTATAACTCAACTGGCTCTGCCTGCTGCTGAGCTTGGTTTAAAGAGCACCTGAGGTTTGCACCAGCCCTTTAAATAGAGATGTGCAGATCACTGTAGTAAAAGTCTTTTGGATGGGATTATAAGACCAAGCAGCCACCAGGCAACCTGGAACCCGGCTGCTATCCTTCATGTGGATTTAGTTATACTCTTGTCCTTGATGGTTCGTAAATTGGAACATGACATACATCGCTACCTGTTTAAATGTTGTGGGACCAATTTATCAGGTCAGTGTTGAAGGTTAAATGATAAAATGTTCCTGATGTATTTAGAATTGCAGAGCAGTGGGAGGCAAAGTAATAATTCATTGTGTATCCCTCATAATTTTGATTGCACAAAGTGAAGATTCACTAAGGACACTTTGCTCATAAGATAATGACAGAGAGGATAATGTGTCTCCGTGTGGGACCATAGCCATTAGCCCATGTGCCTCTGAAGCATGGGTGATGTGGCCGGGCCTGAGATACTTTACGTTTTGTACTAAATGAAGAGCTGATATGGAAAATAACATAAAATTGCTCATTAATCACTATTGATCATATATTAGAATGATAATTTGGATCTATCAGATTAAGTAAATTGTATTATTAAAATTACTTGCACCTGTTGTTTTTTAGCACAGCCACTAGGAATACTAAGAGGCCAGGCCATGGTGGTACATGCC